GAGATGCAACTGAATTGGGATTTGGGGGTGGGGGGAGAGGTAAATTAACGAGTGTAACGGCCAGGTGGGTTGTGATTTTGGTAAATGTTTTTATTAAGTTCGGTCTAATTGTAATTCGTATTTTTGCATTGCGTTGTCCTTCCAATAGTCTTGTTACACGTTGCAACTGTATTAAGTCAGGTTCTCACGTGAAATGAAGTCAAAGGCTTGAACAACATTGCAGACTTAAATATAGCATTAACCCTTGAAACATTTTAAAAACTAGCTTTAGGCTATGTGCAACGCATGTTTTAATCGCGTCAATCAATTAACAACAATAATAATAACCCAGTAGAATTTCACTAATAGGGTCTGAGGAGGGTAGTGTGTACGCAGACCTTACCCCTACCCCAAAGGAGTAGAGAGGCTATTTCCGAAAGACCCTCGGCTCAAGAAAACAAAAATACAAAACGACAAGAGGAGACAACATTAGTATCACCACAACAATCATAGAAAAAATAGGAACATCATGAAATGCAGAAGAAAGATGCAAAACAAAAACGATAGCTAGTAAATAGGACATGCACTGAAAAGCGAAGTAGTAAAACACAACATTGTCACTAGCTACCCTAGACAATAACCTTACGTGGTCAGTCCCACAATTGTACGAAGTAAGTCAAGACTCAACTACATCCTAACCTACAAGTCTAATACTCGACCTCCATATCTTCCTATCAAGTGTCATATCCTCGGAAATCTGGAGCCTCGCCATATCCTGTCTGATCACCTCTCCTCAATACTTCTTAGGCCGCCCCCTACCTCTTATCGTGCCCTCCACAACCAGTCGCTCACACCTCCGTACCGGAACATCTGGGCTTCTCCTTTGAACATGTCCGAACCATCTAAGTCTCGCTTCTCGCATCTTGTCATCAATGGGAGCCACGTGCACCTTCTCCCGAATAACATCATTCATAATCTTATCTATCCTAGTGTGCCCGCACATCCGCCTCAACATCCTCATTTCTGCTACTTTCATCTTCTGGATATGTGAGTTCTTAACGGGCCAACACTCAGCCCCATACAGCATGGCTGGTCTAACCACCGCTTTATAGAACTTACCTTTGAGTATTGGTAGCACTCTCTTGTCACACAGGATTCCAGATGCTAACCTCCACTTCATCCATCCTACCCCAATACGGTGTGTGACATCCTCGTC